TTTGTGGAATTGTCTCTTTTCAAGGCAAACATGAACATTTAACACAGTTGGTATTCTATAGTATAAATAAACAACCGAAAAATATAGCATGAAAGGACAACATATAGAGTGAACTTCTTTAAACTTGCATTGAAAGTAAAGTTCACCGAAAATCAGCCACAGGTTAAATCACTGGGAGATCAAACTACTTCCTAAGAAAGAGGTTACACATACATGCAAGCAGTAGCTGTGGCTACCTGGGAAGGTAACCTTTGTTTGTTATTTCTTCCAGTCTCAGAAGAGAACATATCAGTAAACAAAACTAAATTTCAAAACAGTATCAATAGAAAAACAAGACAAGGAAGTCATGCAAACATCTGTTATGATTTTAGAGGGACACAAAGAGGAAAAAATATCAAAATTTCAAGGTTTTAGTTTACCAACTTGTTGTAAATTCTAATGGAAATGGTTTTTGAATGGGTGCACACTATGAACAAAGCTGCAAAGCAGGTCTTTCCTTTGTAATGTCAGAGCACAGTAAGACCTTTTGACAGAAATTATCGCTTTGCTAGAAGGAAATTTCAATAATGCTCCCCCCTATTGTTATACTCTTAATTGTAAGTTGTAATTGGATGAATATTTGGTACATTCAATCTGCATGTGCTTCTAAAAACAACCACTTTAGGTTATGTTATGCAAAACACTGCCATCATTTTCATATGAATAGGATAAATCTTTTCCAGTACTTGAAACTTTAACTGAGGACTTGGTATCAGAACTCCAACAATTCAAGTTTTTAACATTGTCTTCCCTTTTCCAGGGAAAATTAAAGTGGGCACTCTGCAAAAGATTCCCATTTGTGATTTCTCCACTTGATGGATTGAATTACTTTCATCTTGTATACATGCTTTGTCTTCTATGACTGACACTATCTGCCCTCCTACAGTAGTCTTCAAAGTCATGTTTACTCCTTTTATCAACCCTGTGACATGACAGGGAAGATAGCAAAGTAACAAAAACCATCCCATTTTCCTCCAGTAATAAGCTGTATAATAGCTGTAACTGTAAAGACTTCACTGACAGTAGGTATCAGCATTGTTGTCATCCTCTCAACAACAGGAATTGCATAAATGTTGTGATGCTTTGAAATAAATTGTAGATATTCTATAATTTCCAGATTAATGCACAATAACTTGGAATCCAATATGGACTTCTATAACCTTTAACACTCCAGTGCTACTGCAAAATATTTCCAAGGGCAGGAGAGTTGCAGTTCTTTTGTTGTAATCCACTGAACATTTTAGCAGCTTCCACACACACCATTAGAGCAGATCAAATAAAGTGCCCCAGATAATCAAGGGAGCAAATATCCAACAAAGGCATTTATTGCAACGAACTATCCTTGAAGCGTAAGTCTTCCATATTCAAGGCATTCTAATGAGAAGTGGCAAGAACTAAAAGTTCTCAATATTTCTTGCCTAGAAAAACTGGCAACATGTACAGTTCTGATAAATACCAAAGCGTTCATGAATTGTCCATTAATTTTGAAAGCATAACCTTAAACAGCTACAACTACACTCAGGAGTGTATTGAAATAATGCACACAACAGTGTGAGGAAATATCAAAATAATAATCCAATGTAGCCAAAGAAAAGCTAAAAAAAAGGGAAAGTATTTAGTACACAAAATGCTTTTGATATCATGTTTTTTGTTCCAGTAACTTTTGAACAACCATATTAAAACAACTTACTCAAGGGATTTTAAGGTTAACTCCATTTGAACATAGGGACAATTTAAGGTCACTTCTTGAAATTGTATAAAAATTCTTATCAACACATTTACACACATGGCGTTAACTGGTCCATTTATAAACAAGTTTGTCGACCTATCATTTCCTCTCATTTAGAATTTTTGGCATTGTGAATTTAGAAAATTCCTCAGAACTACAGTCAACTCCCAATAAATTGAACCTATGCTGCAAAACTTTTTATTTTTCTTCTGAATTTCTGTCAAACATTACTGTAATTTTACCCACTGCAAGTTTCACTGGCTCAAGGTAAATTTATAAACAGTGTAATGTACCTTCAGAAAGTAGTATGGTTTATATTCCTATATTTTTTTTTTTAAATTGTGTTCATTCAACTCCTCCACACTTGATGTTAAATTTGATTTGAATTTTCACCACAGACCTCTTACATAAATGGCTAGCCAAATTACTATCCTTTTACAACCGTGAAAATTACCCTTTCTATAAAATCTAGAAAACAAAAAGAAACAAAAGAATTTTCACCCAAGAGTGACACCAATAAGGCTCACTAGCATGCACACAAGAGAACAATCATGGCCACCATTACAAAAGAGGTCTATTTGAATCAAATTCCTTTTTCTTAACATTCCCATTCATTTGTTCACAACTCTCATTAAACTTGGTCTCCTGATACCAGTAGGGATCGATTTGTTGAGGGTTGACTGTATCAAATCCTGATAACATCAAAACAAATAATAACAAATACTCCAGGTGCTGCTGCTCCTACACAGGTGTTGGAAATAGGTAACACAGCTAAAGCCATGTGCAGTGACTTAAAATGCCCTGGTAAATGAAAGAGCCAAATACAGCTCTTCTCTACATCCCTCTCGTAAATTAGGACAAAATTATCCCAAGACTGAAAATAATTTTTCCCACTCAGGAACCTTTAAATCAACCTTGAAATTTCACACTGGAGACAACCAATAAATTTAAGTGTTGAGCTCTGCATGAACTTCTCATTGTGCTACAGCCTCAAAGTCATGAAAGTTGTTATCAAAATTTCCAAAAGATCTAATCAAATCTCCAAGATTTTATTATGAATTCTAACTACATGATGCAAGCCATTTATTCTTTATACCACAAATCACTTTTATTGAATTTAATTCAAGCAAGGTAAGCTTTGAAGACAAATATGCAAAGTTGTACAATCCATTCCCACCCTAACCAGAAATGATCTTTGGCATGATGTTGTTCTATGGTGATGCAAAACAGAACAATATTCTTCTTAAATAAACTATTTCTGACTATCTCAGAAATCAAGATTACAGGTGACAGAAGGGAACCCATTTGTAACTGCTCCTAGCTATTACAAACATCTTACAAAACTACTATACTGATTTGATTACAAGTATTCTTCAACCATGTACATACTGTTTTCTGCTCTCCACTTGAAAAAGGAGATGCTCTATCCCTGAAATGCAATATTTATATCCTAAGAATTAGATTCTAGCTTCACACAATACACATCAAACATAACTATCTAAAAGATCAACAGACTAACTTGTACATTTCTACTCATTTTTTTTTGTAAAACAGCTTAACTCGCAATCAGAAACAAAAACCCTCATAAGTATCTAAAAAAAAAGGAATGGAGTTCTGATGCATGACCATAAGTTTTAGCATCACATATTTAAGCAAAGGCTCAGCCAGCATTCTATACTGCCTTCCATTGACAGAGTTATTGAGTGCCATAAAAATCCTAGAGGTGGTATCTATGAAGCATGCTCACTAGACTTAGAACAATGATAACTTTTCCCATAGGGACCAGGAAATGCAAACACAAGATCCTGCTAGCAGGCTAAAGAGATGGCAGTAGGAGGTATTTTATATGCAGAATTAGATCACTAGTAGCTGGAATTTTATTGAAACCCCTGCTTAAAACAGATTTGTTGGCTTTCCTTTTGTCACAACTAAACGATATTAACTCAACCAATCAAATATACTGTTATATATGCTTCCCCAACTAAGGATATTTAACAAAATGGAAAAAGATTACTACCCCTTGACACAATCCTACAATATTTGACAAAAATGCCACACTTACGCTGCCAGTTGAGCTTTACTCTTTGTACCAACTGGAATACGACGAACAACCACAGAAGAATTCTTGGGTATCATTGTCATCTCATCTTTGTATTCTACCATGAAAGTTAAAAGAGGTATTATCTATAAATGGCCTTTACATGCGACATCAAAGTTCGCAGTATGAGAGAGAAAAAACTTCATATCAATCACAAGGAAACAATGTTTTACTTGTTGCTAATATTTTGAAGACAAACAGTAACGCATAAATTTTAATAAACTGAAACGTTAAACAATCTTGAACCAGATTTCAGCATGTTTTTGCCTGCTCTTGCAAGTTCAAAAAATTCTAAAACGTTCCGCCAGCGATAGGTAAGAGTTGGTAAAAACTAATTTTAATTTATTGAAGAGTATATAATCGGAAAATTGATCAAAAGATTGTGTAATTTTAAACGAACGCAAGTAATCCTTCATTTCTAACTTCGGGAACTGTATGATTCCACGAGTTTAAGCTCACACTCAATTGAGGAAACCATTGTGAATTAATTACGGAATAAAACAACTAGGAAAAACATTTATTTGACTAGACTTCAAATATAACTTTAATACAGAATTGATTCGCAACCTAACTAGACACCACGTCAAAATAACTGCTCACCTTCTTTCGTCTGAGCATTGGTAACCTCCAGGTCAAAATCACTGTTCTTTCCGAATTTTTTCTGAGTAATGATTGACTGTTTAAGGTCGGCAAGCGAAATAGAAAGTCCGTCGAATGTAATTGTGTCATATTCTAAAGCACTTCGGAACTTATAGTGAATACAAGACATTAGGATACCGACAAAATTCTAACAAAAAACGAAAAAACGTTGAACGAAATGGCACCAATGAAAGAGTCACCTCAACAAGGAACACGAATCAGTTCAACATTTTCTGAAGCTAGATAAGGCGGGGAAAACGAAACATAATGGAAAATTCACTCGCATAGAAAGAAAGATAAATAAATGAGTGAAGCTATTATAAAAGCAAAATCCAACAACTCTAAACTACCTAAAGAAATCTGCTGAAATAAGAAAACGGTGGCCGAAACCTCAACGCGACACGACACGAGTAATCACAGTTCGCATAGCTTTTCGGGAATTTGGAAATTCGGATATCAGCGAAAGGTCACGAAGGATGACGGAAGCTGCTATAAATATTCGGGAAATGCTGATCTCGCGTGTATCACCTTTGTGACGGCATAGGAATGGTTGGGACCGTGGTTGATCACTTGGTTAACCTTTAAAGCTCTGTGGTGGAGATAAACTGCAAAAACCAAGCCTTTGTCGTCGTGTCATGTTAATTCTTAGAAAGATTCCATAAGGTGACATCTGCCGGATCACGCTAAAACAGCTGTGAAGATATCAAGTGTTTCACCAGCGCACAATATCATTCTTGAAGTTGACACAACTTGCGTTAATTTAAAGTGAAAATCATGTTTCAATTTCTCTTGAAACGAACTCTGTCACAAGCACGTCATGCTTTGCGCTTTGAATCACTTCAATTAACCAAAACTGCATCACTTTCGAGCCACATTAAACGAGAACCGAGCTCCACAAGTATCGGAATCACAAAGGTCATGGTTGTATTGGTTCCTGGGATGTACTTTGGCGGACGATTGGGAAGAAACTTGGCTGAATTTTTAGACGAGTGGAGTATTTTCAATGCTGAAGACGACGATGAAGATGACTAGGAATTTAACACGGTACGTGGTCATTAATTAAATCAAACTTCATTCTACGAATAAATTTTGTGGTTTTGACTGCTTCTGTCAATGGACATATTTAGTGTATTTTTAATAGTTCATAGTTGTAGTGTACTAAATAATAATGAATAGTTTGCAATGCCCTAAAACACAAGGTTCCTGAAATATTGAAATTATTCTTTAAGGACTATACATGCTGAAATTTTAAGTATGCCAGGAGCATGTTAATCCAATTAGCATCTTGTGCAGTGAGTTCGAAATAAACGTATGTTTCTAACTAACAGTGAAAAAACTTCTCGTGGAATTTGGGATAAACAGGTAGACGTGGAATTGTGTTTTTAAAGAATTAACGTTACCAACTGGTTTTCTTACAGTCTTATTCCTTTGGGGTGCATTAAACAAATCCTATTGTTTGAATTAATGGTATGTTTATTAAAATGATGTTGTTAACCAAAAGCTTGAAGTTTAAAATTTGCTTTTATTTTAATTTTTGCTTCTCCAATAAACAAATTTTTTTTAGTTAACAATGTTTTATTTTGAAGGGTGTAAATAATTTCTTGGTCCCTCTCTTTTTCATTTCAGCTTGTGCCGGTGATGTGAAATGGTAATTTTCTACTCTGCACACAAACTTTACCACATGAATATTATATTTTAAGACACAAGGAGAAGATCCCAACAAGATTGATTTCTAAAACCAATAATATTTTTATAAGAACAAATCTGTATTAATTTTTTTTATTTTTAACAGAAATTTTACATTAAGGGTGGCAAATTCATATTTAACACGCATGAGTAAGTTTTAGTTTTTTTTACTCTGGCTCTACTGTAAATTAAATAGCTGAATCCTAGTTTATGTGGATTGAATAAAAAATTAAGTGATGTTTGTGATGAACAATTTTTGGCACCAGTGTTGTGTAATATGCTTTATTAGCATACTATTCGGATGGCACTGTGCACGTAATCCCACAGAAAACCATGATGAAAGCTGACATTCATCAGTGCTTTCAATAAGACCTGGCACCTGCCAAAGCTCTAGTGGGTATTCTGTTGTGAATCCCAGGGTAAACTTTGGAAGCTTTTAAGCAAACTCATGAGGTGAGACCTAAAACACCTCAAGTTATTCTGGAGTTCTTTCAGTCAACTTTTACCTTAAGTTTATAAACAAGTTTTGATAAAAATGATTGATATTGTCTTATAATATATTCCAGCATACATTTCCTAGCAAAAAAAAATATTTTGAGTTTCCAATAACATACTGACTCAAATTTCAGTAACCAGTAACCATATGTCCTTTCAGAGGACTTTTTGAGTGAAACTCAGGGAGCATGCTTGCATGTCAGCAAGTGGAAGATTTTTATCAGAAATTACATGATTAGTTAACCAATTGCTATAATGGTAATTAATGAATGATTAATGACCATCTACAGAAGTTTAACAATGAAAACTCTCTTTGAAGCCAGTTTATTCTGAATGGAAGTTGTGATACAACAAGAGGGAAATTCTTGCTCTACTAAGGTAGCCACCTTCTTCAAATCTTATTGAAAGGTATGAATGCATAGGGCTGGATGGGTTGACATGGGTCCAGAAAAAGCCATTTGGCCCTGCACTTACACAGCTCTTCTGTACTTCCTGAGAATGTGAATTGAAATTATGGCCTTCAACTTAAATTAAAACAAACAAGAGAATGAGTAAGGCTTCATTATGAATTATGAGTTTCTTGAAATGACTCAAAGAGTAGAAGGAAAAGTATCTACTGCAGAATATTTTTTAGTTGAGTTGCCCATTGTGTACCCTTCTTTTATAAGCAAGTATATCCTATTTAGTTTGAAACAAAATTTCTACGTTTTAAACTCTAAGTGGTCACCTGATAAAGTGCCTATTGACTGACTTTGGTCAGACTGGATGGAGAAATATTTGGCTTTGAGTCATGACGCACAAGCCTTACTGCCCTTGGTCTGTACTTCATGACCTCGAGCCAAATATTTTCCTGCCAAGTCCTTCCACTTAGTCAAGTACATGGTAGTGGCTAAATTATTGTGAAGGGCATGATTACAAAAACAGAGGATTTAATTTTCAGATATGCCACACTGCAGATTTAGTTTCTAAAAGCCTAATAATCAAATGTCAAATGCCTTAATGTTGATCATCAGTTATCATTTTTAGCTTTCAACTGTGAATGGCAACACCTCCATTGAGACACTGATTTAAATGTAGCATGGACTGTGATTACAAATGGCCTTCCACTTAATTTAATTTATTAAATCTTTATTTATTTATTTATTCATTTATTTATTATAATATGTTTTAGTCATCCTTGAGTAAATTGGCATTGGACTCAGGTAATTGCAACCCAACATTAGTCAGTATAACAGAACTTAAAAACAAGCTCTTAGGAAATCCTTGCAAGATTTTTTAGGAAAGCCCCTTTGAGGACCACTTCAGCCATTTCAGTAGCAAGGGTGATCAAGGAGGAACCTCTATTTTATTCAACATACTTTGAAAATAAAGGTGACGAGATACTATATCAACTTGGAGATATTGTTTTTTGCTCAAAATTCTCAGAGCTAAAGCTATAAAAACCTATGGCAGACAGAGATAAAAAGTTGTTTTTTGGACATCAGGAGTGACTGGTTTAATTTTCTAGATGCTGAAGAGCTTACTCATTTAAAGGCTGTCACTGTGTTAAAATTATTGGAAACACAAGTTGAGATGTTTGCAATGCACGCTACATGTATTTCAACCTTTTGCTCAAATGTTGGTCCAAACACGTCATTTCCTAAGTACGCTATGATATGGCAGTCCAATGACATCATTTGAAAGTACAATTTCCTGTATGCATATCGAATGTCTGAGGAAACTGAAATTTTTAAATTGAATATTATGTTTCTCCTAGGTATAGGTTTGGAAGACTATTCAAAATATTATGGTACCATTATTTCAAACAGATTTTCTTATTTTACATGGAACACGTATCATTATTTTGTTCCGTTTGTTTTTCCTATTATTCCTTAATTTTCGCGCCTCATCGCCTGATTGCCTGTAAATAAGCTGCTAATCGAGTAATCCTGGAACCTATTCTTCTCTCCCCAGTCTTTCCTCCGGCGCTAAAAAATTTTCAAACAACAATCTGCCTCTCGTCGTTAATGTTAAATTTATTCGGGGATTTCTTGTGAAGCGACTTCTTGGCGGATGATAAAGGACTACCTTTATTCTGGAGGTGATGGTTTTGTAATAGAGCACCCAGTTATTTCGACAGCGATTATCACGCAATACCATTATACGGATCAGAAAGCGCGTTGTTTTGTCATGCCTCAATCAATCAGCTAGAATGTGCGTGAACTTCATCTACAAAAGCAGTATTTTTCTTTTCAGCCTTTGATGAGTGTATATTCACGCTACAATTGTGTCTTCAACAGCGTACATATCTGTGTATTTGTGTGGGTACTTACGGCATGAATAAGGGACGAAATTCGAGCGCCTTGCAATCAACTGTACATTTTTTATCGTCGAGTACCTTGTTGGCGAATGGTTCTGACCGAAAACGTTCTGTAGTTGAGATTTGTGGTTTTATGGCTGAATTGTAAAGTGATTATGTCTGAAGAGACCAAAGAGAGCTTAGGAGTGAATTTTCGATCAAAGGAAACAACTGAATGTACATCGAGCACTACTGATGCATTCCTTGTCCCGTTTGGGGAGCTCGACGAATCGCCGGTTGAACAACAAGACCTTAGCGGACTGCTCAGGCAAGTGATGTGTTTGTTTCGGCTTGTTTTGTTGATAAACTTGTCCGCAATTTGACCTCGACCGTGTCTATTCAATACTGATATTTTGTTTATTGAAGTCAGGCTTTGTTAGCGGTATTTTGTCATTCTGTTAACACAGGATAGGGGAAAGGCGTACCGGAGCTTTTATCAACGGATTTGACGGCAAATTTCTTTGCGACGAAGCTAGCAGTTCGTAAGTACTATTTGCTGTCATGGTAATTAGTCACATATATTTCAGAGCCAGATTAAGTTGAAATAGTGGCCTATTAATAAAATGTCTCCGGGCGATATTGGAACGATGTGTAATTCACCACCGGTTGTTTCCCGTAAATTTGCACCGAATGTTCTGTGGCATGATCAAGCTGTCAGTGACCCAAAAAAGTACGGTAGAATAATTAAATTTTAATGATTCCTTAATGATGAAAGCTTAAACCATGGAACCTTCGAATTGAAGATTTATAGTGATATTACTGCAAATGTGCTACAATCAGAAAGAGAGAACTATGTTTTGACTAGTCTCAAACACAAAGAAAGCTAATTTTTCTTAAAATTACAAATTATTTATTTGCCTCATCTAGAGATAGAAATAAATTAAACAGGGCACGTTCATACTCAGATTCAAACTTTAGATTGGCTATGTATGTAATAAAATGAAATTAGAAACTGAAAGGACAAGTGATTTTTAAGTGGATGAATGCCTTCATGCTTTGCAACACTGCAATTAATTCTCCAATATTTTTTTTTTGGTCAAATTTTTAAACAATCTGTCATGAGATTTTCAAAAGTTTTTGTCTCTTCAGATTTTACACATTTTATGAACTGTATTCTGTAGTTTTTGTGTGTATAAATATACACAGTTTGTAGGAAATATTGAGTTTGTAATTGATGAAATTCACAATATAAAAAATTACATGGATCAATGAACAATAGAAAAGCATATTTATTAAATGTAAGATCCTAGGCATTGAAACCAATTACTTATTGAAACATTACAATTTATTTGCATCATTGTAATATAAGAATTCCTCTTTTTTTTCTTGTTAACATTATTCATGTTTGTAATAGTAATTCAGAAAAAAACATGACTAAAGAGGGCAACACCAAGAAAACCCATGTGTTTAGTCTGTTCAATTTAGCTTCTATTGTAATTGACAGCTTAAGTAAATCAAATGTTTTAAGCCTTTTTCTTCCTAAATAAGCTCTGCTATGGTTAATTTCCTAAAAGAAATTATTAATTGTAAATATTTTTGGAGACAAAAAAAGGTGTTGCACTCAGTTGTTTGACATGTCCTATAAATTTACTTGGCTCTATTGCATTAAACAAACTTAAATGGACACAATTTTTAATGTATATAGTTCACCCAAACATAAGCTACACTAAAGCCTCTCTGATTATTGGCTCTTGGGTCAGAGAGGACCCAGTTTTAACATCCGTGTCTTCTTAATAGGATGTACATTGAGATTTATTTGTGTTTTACAAGGATTTCCATCCCTGAGAAAAGCTGTAACTACATGCTTGTTAAATCACATTCTTTTTTGTGTTCAATATTGCCAATCAGCTGCTGACAGGTCACTCACTTTTCACCTCATTCTGTTTTGTGAATAAATGAACAAGATAGCATTTACCAATCGTTCTCAATCCAAGGTTGTTTTTCAAATTTTCTTGGGTATTCATTTAATATGGGTCAGCTAAGCACTGCAAAAATTGTTTTTATTGGCCAGTTAATTGTTTGATATACATTTAATATTTTGAAATGGATTTTATTGATTGGCATAGAACTTGATTACACAAACTCTACTTTAAAACATTGTCCAGTGCTAAATTAGCAGCTCACTATTAATTTTAATGTAGAATAATTATTTTATTTATCAAAATATAAATGGAAATGTTGAAAGGATTTTAGCCAGATCTTTGTTTACTAATTTCTTGTCAAGGACATCAAAATGTCTTTTCAAAAATATTGCATCAAGCTCCATTTGACTGCTGTTGAATCATGTACTCAGAATATAAGTCCAAGGGCTAGACTGAAATTTTCTCTAAATGCAAGACATTAAACAGATATCTCCTTTTTCTAGGCCCCGGAAACCACATCCATTGCGTAGCCCAGTGAACAGCACCCAGACCTCCGTTTCAAGGAAAGTAGCTGTTACTTCTGTCTCAGAGAATACAGGGAAAACTCTGACATCAAAAGACTATAGGAATTTCTCCAAGGCACCTCTCAAGTTGAAGTTTCCATTATCTCCTAGAGGTAATTCATAATCTTTTCTCATAAAAATAAAGCAGTATTTATATATATATATATATATGTAAGGGTTAGAGGTTGCATGATTTTTTTTTTCTTCTATTAGTAAAATAACATTTATGATTTATCAACTCTGGCAAACTCATAAATTATGTAGTAATAAGAAATTTATGTGTACATTCAAACAAATCTTGAGCTGCTTGTTATTTCAGAAGATGTGTATATTTATTTAGCAGTGCACTGTTTTTATGCTTTCATTTTCTGAACCAAAAATGTTACAAGTGTTTAACAACTATTCATGGAAGTTGAGGTGGGTAGTGGGGGATATTTACTGAGCTACGAACACTAAGGTTGGTTAAGAATACAGCTATTTAGTTTGTAAGGGTGACTTTTATGTTTAAACTTGATAAAAAACAAAAAAAAAAAGAATAAGGTGGTCCCAAAGAATGAACAACACAATGTAACCTCAACAAGAGTGAATTTGAAATCACCTAAAGAATGATGTGTACAACATCATTCTCTATTGTTTTGTTCCTCTTGTATTCACAAGTATGTCTGCATTTATCCTGTGTTCAATTTAGTCCTTTTGCCTGAGGTAATTTGTTTCACTTCTTAAAATTCATTGATTACAGGTATACCCAAATTACCTTAAGTTTCAAAATTGTTGCCTGCACTTTTTCCTTTTTTGCAACAACCTTTCTGCAAACAGCTGTACACTGAAACAGTTACATAATATAGCACAAAAAGATGATTTTAATTTGTTTATTTCTACAATGATTACAATATATTTGGGCGCAAGTTTCTCAGAGGTGAAAAGTAAGGGATATATTGGGAGTTTCAGTTGCCAATCAGAGTGCGCCTTTAACGCTTTACACTGTTTTAGACATATACCAAATAACATCATACCATGCATAAATGTTTTGATAATTTTCAACTGCAAACTCTCCTCATTCTGTAAATCCAGTGCTGCGCTCATGCAAACTGTGCCATCAAGCCAGCTGGGAGCAGCTTATAATCAGAGTTCATGATATACCCATAAAAGAATGAACGTAAGAAATAAGATCAAAAGAAATCCTATGTTTTGGACCCAAGTATTATGATTTTTGATTGTGAAAAGATCAAACTTTACCCCTGCAAAATGACTTGTGGGGGACATAAAGTGTGATGAAATATTTATCCCTATAAGCCTTAGTATAGCAGCAGCTTTTTTGACACTTAATTTATGCAATAGTGTTGGTTTTTTATCTATTGATAAGATATAATGGGTGTTCAATTTAATTAGCCATCATTTGAAGCAATTGGATATTACAAACATTTTAATTCTAATAGAAAATCTATTTTTTCTCTGCTACTATTTGTATTATTATTAGTCAAAAAATTTTAAATGGATTACTTACTCAATATGGAAATGACACTGCATGTAATCAGTCTGACACTTTGAATATTTTGAGAACTAACTTGCTAACATGGCTCACAAAGACTAGACTTGAAGTATTTAAAAATGCAACAATAGAATAAGGCCAATATTTAGGTATTTTAGTGAACAGGTTTGGTTTATCAGAGGTGCTCTATATGGTTAAATTATTCTAGATGAAGTAATTTGAATTTGCATCAGATGGCAATCCAATAATAGCATGCAGGCTTATTTTGTCTAGGGTTGTGGCAAAGTGCCAGCTGCCAGCTAAATTCAGCAGCTAAATTTGGTGGCTAATTATCTGGGGGCTAATTTTAATGGCTAATTTTGCCAGCTAAATGTGGCAGCCAAAAGTGGCTTCTAAATTTGGCAGCTAAATTCAGCAGCTAAATTTGCTCTCTAAATTTGCTGGCTTTATTTTCCAAACACAGAGTTGGCCATATCAGACCGTGAAATTGTGCCTAATACAGATGCCAATGCAACTAAATTTTTCACTTTGGTGACCAAATCCTGAAAATTAGTCACCAAATTTGAACTAGAATGTTTCATCATAACCTTACTTAGAGATATAGTGAATTAAAAAGATTTGCAAAGGTAAATCCATGGCAGACTTCCTTGTTAAGTTTGTTTCCAAAACACAGCACATGCATCTTGATCAAAACTAGATGCCATCTTGGATTTAAGTGAGCTTGAATGTTGCATATCATCCATCCTAGTGTCCACTTTGTAGCATGTTAAAGGTCTTTTCCCTAACTTAATTTCTTGAATGATGACAGCGTTAAAAAAAGGTTTTGTTTGTCTTTGAAAATGGCAACCAACTTTTTTTGAATTTGCTACCATTTTGAAGAATTTAGGAGCCAAGTGGCTATCAGAGAAAAAAATTAATTTCACACCCTGCATATGATAAACATACTTCCCGTGTCAGTCAAAGTGAAGATTTGTCACAATTTTCCCTTAATTTGTGTTTTGTAACCACAGCAGCAGCATGGAATCTTGAGGAGGACGAAGACAGTGGAATAGCTAGTGGAAGTACTGATGGAGTACCTTTTGGTTACACATCGGGAGGCTTGTATTATTCTACAGATGTACATCTTCAAACACTTCACACACTGGTAGGAATTGCGAAGCTTGTGTTTATTTAGCTATTTTTGTGAGATTTAATCAAGTCCTTGACTTGATTATAGGTAGGGAATGGTATATTATTATTGGCTTGTTAATTTATAGAGGTAAATGTAGGGGATCTACAAAATATAGTATACCTAGTCTATTACTTCTTGAAATTAGTATGTAAACTTCACAGCTTTGGTGGCTACTAAAAATGTTTTACATGAAGTTTTTTACTTTTACCAGTTCTGTTATCTTTTGCTTAACTCTGCTAAAAATCTTATTTGTTAAAAATATGTGATTTATTTTAAGGAGTTTAAGGGCTTCTTGATTCACCCAAATGAAAATCAAAGCTAAAATTAAACCACAAGGCAGAAATAAAGTAGTCAATAATACAAGCAAGGGTAAGTGTAGAGGTGGTGGACAAGTGTTTGAATTAATTATTCACTCTAAATGTCAGGGTAATGAAGAGGAAGCTGTAACTCCTCCTCTGGAGAAGAAGCAAAGGTAATCTTGACTAAAATAAGGTTTTACTTCGTTTAGGTCTATGTATAGCACTTGTGACTATTAATTGTATAAGGAGACAAGATTGGTGCTTTTATGTGATGGAGCAAAATTGAACACTAAAATTACTACTTCACTTAGAATGAATAATTTGTAATGTAGATTAAAGCTAAGTTCACCAACTTTTGCAGTGGTTTGAAGCAAACAAGAATTAGTAAACTGGCCAGACGGCTCAGCCAAAGAAAAGAGAGAGGAAATATGAGGTAATAGAGTACTTGAGGCTTAATCATGGCCCCATCTACAAAATTCTATCTTGAATAATTACCTAATTACTCTTCATTAAGACAGTTATGATTTATTATTTTTGGATACTAAGTTGGTATACATTTTCCAAGTCTAGCAAAACTGTGAAATTTCTACACATGAATTGTGTCTTTAGACTTAACCCTCAACAGTTCCATGAGTGACCAAGATAGAATTTCTCCTTGCGATACCAATACAATTTGAAGCAGACAAGTAATAGGAAATGTAAAGAAAAATATCAATAAGGGTTAGTCGATCCAATACCAAGTTTTCCAAACTTGCATGATGAGAATTGTATGGCAGACAGTGAGGAGAATAATTAATGAGATCTTGGGAATGAAAGGGTAAAAACATCACTAATGCCATAGCACCTGATGCATGTATAGGTGCGCACTGTGCATGCACATTTGCATGCACATATACATGCACTGGTTGATACATTCATTCAACCTGTGATTGAAACACAAACCTCAGAAAGAACACATGAGATTGTTTTATTTGTGAGCCCTAAAATGACTTCAAGTCTGTGAAAAAAAAAGAGAAAGTATACAAAGGAGTAAAGGGAATTGATAGCTTGGCAGTAAGAGTCCCACGTCTGTTTTTTGTTGTGGGCATTGATTTGTGGGCATTAGTTTATGGGAGTTTTCTCTTCATTAAGACTGGGACATTGCTTTATAAGAAGAGTACATTTAATATTTTTTGTTAAGTTGAAACCTTTGACACACTTGAACTTAGAAAATGTTGATTTTGTTCCTCATAGGAATCAAGGAAGATCTCACAGTTTAGAAGATATTTCATCCCCAGCAGGACCAGGAGCAATCCATGGAAACAACAAATCACCAAGGTTACAGCGCACCATGTCAGTTAATCAACGTTCCTCCCCACGGACACGGCTCTCTGTCCAAGAGAATAGATTCAGTTTTAATAACAAAGGTACTTGGGGGTAGTGATGCAGTAAAGCATTGTATATTATACACAAGCTGAATTAAGCACACATTTTGTTAGTTCTTATGATCTATTGGAGAACTGATGTATAGATGACCTCACCATGCACAATTATTTGCCTCTTTATTACACAAAAGAAAAAGATTCCATGTTGCTGTGTGCTTGTTCAGTAATATATCACAGGAGGCATCAAAATGTGGTAATAAAATCAGTCACACCCTCAGCTGTGTCTTGTGTGTCACACCTTTGTCCTTACTACGTTTCGACATCATCTGGGATATATTAATGAACAGATGCGCACCAAAGTGGAATCTATTTGTTAATTGGTGGTAATCCATGTTTTTTTTTTGCTGTTACTTTTGTTTTTTATCTTTGTTTGTTTGTTTCTTTTTTTTTTTGAGAGTAAATTAAAGTTAAACTTAATATGTAATAGCTCTGTGGTATAGTAAGTGATAAAGTGTCACTGATGTTGTTTGTTCCAAATTAAGAATAGAATCTAAATTTTGATAAAAGTGCATGCTCGAATATTCAATAATGATAGCAACATGCAGAGCTAAATTAATGACAACCACAGATGAAAAAGAATATTTACAGTAAACTAAATCAGCAGTTCAAGGTATTCTAATAATAACAGCTTAACTTAATTAAACTGTGATTGTTATTGGTGTTGATTGTGAATTCTGATTTTTTAAAAGATGTAAGAGAAAAATCTAAGAAAAAGAGAGACACCAGTTTAGATGGTAGGTACTCAATTTATCTCCATCATCTGAATTAACTGTTTCAGAGGAAATACAAATCTTTTCATAGCACTAAGCTCAACTACTTTCCTACCTGCCTTTTGGCAACCTGGGCCCAGTTGTTCAAAAGCCAATTAGTCCTAACCCAGGGTTAAATTTCAATCCAGGTTTCCTTCTTTGTTCAAAATCTTTTTAGGGAAAATTTCCCAATTGTTTTTCAAATTGCAAGCAAAAAGATTTCAACTGAATTTCCTTTTGAAGCTTTCAGACCTGAAATCAAATTCCACTGTCCCTGGGTTATCCTAACCCAGCTTTGAACAACCTGGGCCTGAATCATAATATGGTCAGAAGGTATGAAATTTTAGTCCAACACTCTAAGCTGCAAGGTCCAGGTCCATGTCCTTGTCGTGCACCCTGGCTAATGTCCTAAAGAAGGGGATAGCCTGTCAGGGTGAAGTTGGGTGGGGACTTTGTAGATCCCACGGCTGCTATGGTAACCACAAGGGCTTGATTGTAACCCAGAGATGGAGTAACAAACAGAGCTCTGGTGAAACTACGAAGACTAACCTTTTATGCAAGAAGAAATCAAGCAAGGAACATTTTAAGTTTGCTAAGAAGAACATCGTAGGGAGGGAGGCAAAGAGAATTGACTAAAATAGGATCTGTTGGAGTTCCATGGTGTAATGAGTTTGGTTGTGATGACAAGTAAAGAAAAATCCTGTAAACTAAATTTTAAGAGCAAGGTTAGGAGTCAATAGGAGCTCTAGATCTAACATAACTGAACATAGCAAGACTATTATGAAACAAAGTGGCAAACCTGCTATGCAAGTCATGAAGCAACTTGCACCAACCATGATACAATTTTTTGTACAACACACTGTTTAAGACTTTCTCATTTACCATTCTCAGCTCTTGTTGATGCAATTGTTCGCAAAGAAACCGATGAAATTAGGAATATTTTGGAGTCAGAGGATGTGGATATCAATGGGTAAGGATATCATTAACAAGTTATGATATCACAGTAGAAGCAGAGACAAGTGTATTAAAATCCTTTCAAGACCATAGACCTCTTATCTTATAGACCTTATCTTATTTTCCCTTTCCATGTTAGCAAATGGAAGATTTTGATCAGAAATAAAATGATCAGTTAAACAATTGTTATAAAGGAGACAAGTATTAAATGATCATCAATGGAATTTTAACATGGAAAAATTCGTTTGAAGCCAGTTTATTCTGAATTGAAGCAATGGGTTAATAATAGGGAAAATCTCAGGTGGGTGTTTTACTGATGTAGCCACTTTCTTCACATCTTATTGCAAACACTGGGAGCTGGGTAAAGAAATAGAGATAGACATCTTTTTTCTTGTCACGAGCCAGGAACAAGGAAAAAATTCTGAGTTCTCATTTGGAATTGAACCTCAGACCTTCAGATTCTGTACTCCTTTGTTCTACCACTAAGCCTCAGAGACTTTTATGTTAAAATGAAGTTTATAGATAACATACCTCCTGCATGCTGCTTGGATCAGCAATGTCAAATGAGTCATGTTTGTAAATGGAATAAGAAAGTTGGTAAATTTTGAGGGCAGTAAAAGAATAATATGTTTTTTGTCTAGTCCTCAGTGTGGGACAAATTTCTCAAAATTCTCAGTCCCCTTGAGGAATAAAACCTTAGAGCTTCGGATTCTGCACTCTGATGCTCTACTGTGCCACAGAGACTCTATGGTGAAGACGGCCATTCTTTTTCTTTTTGCAAACATTAGGCTTTCAACATTGTTGATCCTAGTAATGTGCAGAATGCATGTCATATGAATTTCATAATGGCCTTGTTCACCATAGAAGTATCGATTTCTTTGTCCCATGCTTTTGACAAGATGAAAAACATCTTCCTCTATCCCTGTGCTGTTTCACAAATTTAAATGTACACATTGTTATAACATTGTGACTTCCTATTGGCTGAGGAGTTTATTTTTTGCCGAAATGCACATTTCTTGTATTGACCTGGACATTTTTCACTTAAACAGTATGCTGCATCATTCAATATCCCTTTGAAAGTCTTATTCAATTCATAAATGTTGTCATTTGTAAAAGAAATACATTTGTAACTCTTGGTTGGTTTTTTTACTGTTCTTAAATTATTTTGTATTGGTTATTCAGGGTAAATGATGATGGATTTGCACCTCTTGATGTGGCCGTCATGCTTGGAGTGTTACCCATTGTCAGAATGTTGTTGTTATATGGTGCTCAAGGAAGCTCAAGTTGTAAGTTTTAGCCTTATCAATTTTCTTTTTTACAGTTGAGTGTTCCCTTGTAGGTACCTGGAGGACAAAGGAGTGTTGTTCACTTTTGGCACAGGCCATGAAGACAAATTATTTTCTCTTTACGTAATCAAAGCTGTTAACCCTTTCACTGCCAAGATCTCCTTATTGTGAGCCATACATTTCTCATGATGTTTGATCATAAGATGTGAGAATTTGGTGTCTGATAAACTAATTAACCCCTAATTAATATTTTTCTTAATTCCCATCACTAGTCTGCTTGATATTGTACTGGTATTGTAAAGAGAAATTCTGTCTTGGTCACTTATGGGAGTCAAAGGGTTAAGGGTTGTCTGCTTGAGAAAGTTTTTAAATATTTATCTACACTGTTCATCAGTTGCAAATTAACCAGCTGTTTTGAGAAATTTCTTCCAAACATTTCTGTACTTTGACTTTTGATCACAACAAAACATGCTTCTGTCAGATGAAATTGCTTGCAAACTTCATGCTGACTAACTCTCATGTTTGCCAATAAAATCAGTTTAGTGACTTACCTGACTTACCTCTTAGTCCATGTTTCCAGGGTGAATGGGAATTTGGAATTATGGTTTTTGTTGAGGGGGGACCCAGAGAAAAACTGTGGGTGCAAGGGTGAGAACGTAGTAACAAACTCAACTTGCATGTGATGCTAGATCCAGGAATCAACCCTGGGTCATAGCAGTGGGAGGCAAGCTCACTCACCACTAAACCATTCTTGCTACGATGTCATCAGGGTTGAACTCTTCAGTGAAAAGTACACTTTCAAAAAAGGAATAACACAAGAATTAAAAAAAGACTTGTCTATGGAATTATGAAGAGTTATAAAGGATATTTCCTCAAAGTACATAATGCTTCACATTGAAAACACCTCACCTATATCATTTGCCTCACAAAATTAGAGAACCTTAAGAGGTAACACACAGTCTGAACTTGTAATGTGTTTGTATCCCTTGACAAATTTCATAACAATGATAACTGGTTAAGATGAAGGTCAAAATTTCATGTGTCTCTGTTAAACTTTCTGCTATTTCGCTAAATTTTCTAGTAATTCTCTTGATGACATTTGTTCTGTTTCATCAGTACCAAGTTCATACCTTGCCAAGCACATAAACATGTTGTTGAAGGAAGCAGAGCTAAGAGTGGATGACCTCACCACAGCAGTGGTGCATGTCAGCTACACTACATCATCTGAAGTAAAGGTAATTCACATTGCTCTGATTGATTTCCTATTGCATACCAACAGAAAAATTTCCCTTGAAAAATCCCCCTCCCCCCTGATCAACGTCATTATACGAGTAACTGCACACCAGCTCCTCCCCTTACCCAACAACAGTCACATGAGAACAACTGGGCAAGGGGTGCAGTTGTTCAGATACTGATTATGGTTACAGCTATAACCTGTTTTGGTGAATAATTAGAAAAAAGGATTTTTGTGGTTACTTTAGAGCATATTTTCAGAACTCAGTGATGACCAGGGAATTAATCATCAATTTGTGTCATCTTCAGGAAAATGAGAGGCTTTTTCAGGAGTGGTTATGGAGGAAACACTTACTTGAACAAATGAAGAAAGGACTTTTAAAAATAGGTAACAGATGGTACAAACAAAAGGTCTTTATCAATATCATATCACTTCTTTTGTCCATAGTCTAATTCCTTGGGTGAATTTCTGATAATTATCAGCATAGAGAATGTGGAATAACTCGTTAACTTTTAATTATCATAAACTCAAAAATTTTGCTTTATCATCTGTCAAAAACATTCTGAGGCTCCTAGCCAACTAGCAATTTCATTTCATCCTGCCATCAATTATCACTGTTTCAGACATCTGGAAGAAGGAACAAACCAAATAGTTGGTATTGTCACAACTTGGGAATATGAACTTTTGAGCTCTAGAAAACTTACCAGTATTCATGTTTTTCATAAGGTCCACAACGTGATGGACAGTTGTGTAAGAAGTACTTTTTATGATGTATTTCCATGTACAACTTTAAAGTTTTCATTTCATTAAAATCCACAGTAATTGTCTTAGGGATCAGAGAAGCCAGATATGGTTGTATTTTTACAGATGATGCTTGTTATTTCCTGTCAAATTCATGGCACCATTGCAATACCACTCCATATTGTTAATTGACATGCAGTCACACTACTATCTTTTGAAATTCACTTTACAAGACAAAAACCTCTCAGAGTTGTAACTGTAAACCCTAGAAATATAGTCAAATATAACTCCTTTGCTCCCTTTGTAATTGTAACAAGTATTCTCATCCTAACATCAAAGTTAAAATGTTTCCTTGAAACTTGGCAGTGATGATGTAATAAGCTGAGCCCAAATAAATGAAATTCAGTTAGAGACGGTTTATTTTTCCTTTGTCAGAACCACCGGACAAGCCAAGTGGTGTTACAATATCAGTTGCTTCTGAAGACTCACTGCTTGTTCGTTTTATTGAACCACTCAATGAAAAAGTTATTGTATCTAAGTATAAAAGTGAGTATAAGCTCCACATGCTATACTTATAGTCAAACCCTCTAGATCCTAAGATCAGCATATCACTTCTCTGCACTGTGCTACATACATTTCTTTCAATTTTGGCTTTGAGAATTTTGTTTCAAATCAAATATCCTAAAGTTATAGTTTCTTTATCCTTTCATATTGTCCCCTTTTTACTTGAAAGTATATCAATATTGTGAGGAGGGATTTTTTTGGTCACACCTGGGATTGAAAGGGCTAAGCTGCCACCTGCTCTCCTATTTCAGTCTGAGAGTTTCTCAAATTTGAGGTATCCCTGCACCAGGCCTCCTAGTTCGTGATCCAGCCGTGGTCGCCATTCAGCTGTCTCTGATCAGGGTTTTCCCCTCAACCTAAGCAAGATTTGCTGTTTGTCTGTTTCGGAGTTGTGAGAGTTTGTTTCTGATTTCAGTTCAATGGAGCAAGTTCCCAGACTTTAAGATTATGGAAGGAGAATATGTCCACCATGACCTAAGGTCACAAGAGTACACAATATGTAATTTGCAGAAGGTTTGTATTGAATAAATCTGTCCCACATGATACTACTAAGCACTAATTGTAAACCATGGTGAATGGAAGGCCGTAAGAGTCGTTTGGACAAGGAAAGGTTTGATAAATTGTCATTAATACACGGGCACGTGTAGACATGGAATTTCTTTTTGAAGGTTGAACTCGATATCTCACGAGTGGGTGTGGCAATCGAGTGTGTTATGGAGTAGAACACGAGAAGATAAATTCCACATGTAATTTTACACATGTGCAGTTACGGCTTTTCTCAGGGTTGGGAATCCTTGTAAAACACCGCAGTTTATAAATTTGCTTTTTTTTATTTTGATATATTCTCTTTGTAGTCTTCTCTATTTTTCTGACCATTTACTTTTCGGGGCGTAAATGTAATGTTGGGAATGTTACGCAAGTTTGTATTTGTATTTTTATTTGTAGTCTGTGTTATACTATGTACGTGTTTGCTGTGGAAATCTAAAAGGTTTTAGTCAATGGCTGGAATCCAGTCCTCCAAGTGCAATGCCATCAAGTATGTTGTTGTTTTTATTTAGCTAGTGATTGCTTATTGTAACGATGGGTAGCAAGTGACTAAATCTACAACTTTGTTTTGGAAAGTTCAATATTCTGAGGCGAGAAGAAAAGGAACAATATATTTTTTGACAAATCACAAAAAACTTCCAAAATTTTCTTGCAACCACATTTTGTGGGCACCATTCTCTCCCTCTGTTACTTGGAATCTAGAGCTCCAAATTCATCTCAGATGAGGAAAAGTAGCAACAGCAAAATACCAATCAAGGAATACCAACAGATAAAATGCATATTAGTCTGTTAGGTGAAGCGGGAGAAAAGTTAACATGGCAGTCTACGTTCTGTATTGAGGTTGACTAGCGTCTAAATTCTCACCAAGATATCACTGCTGCATCAAGCATAAGGCTTGTGAGAATGAAGAAAAGGATCGCAAACTCGAAAATCTCTTGATTTCTAATGAAAGTTTCCTTATTAGTGTCATTGGAAATGTAAAGAGAGCAGTGTGGAGAATATACATGCTCATGTTAGGGTTTAAAGGGTTAAACGTTCTAGGTTTTTTTTTTTTCTTAAATCTGTAAATTATTCTGCAGCATGGCACGAAGTAGATGACTCTAAACCTCGTTTCCAAGGGCGACTCGACAAAATAGATCATTTATTTAGTCGGGTGTGGCAGAGCCATGAGGAATTCTCACCAGTTCGACCATCACTAGCGCACAGACCACGAAGCAACACATATGGCAACGAAACAGGTAAGAAACAAGGCTTAATTTTTGTGCTCTTTTATTTCCTCCACAAACTTTCTTATTAGCTAACAAGATGAAACGATAACAAGGAGCTTCACTGCCAAGATCGACAAATACCACCTCATTTTCATTATACTAACCGCTTGCGATAGATTGTCATGTCATCCTGGGGGAGCAGTAACACATTTAGTCGCTGCATGCTACATGTAAACTGGGATAAGCTGCGGCGGAATGGACCACTTGGCTCCAGCACAGACTTAAATTAGATGTACATTGCTCCCTTTTAACAGTATGCATGACGTTTTTGGATGCATTTTGTTGTCTGTTTTATTTTTATGCATGTTTGCTCTAATTTACACTTTGACAGGGTGCGAAGCTGGTGCATCGCCAAGGACAAGTCGTAAGTCAGCCATGAAAAAGAGTCTAACAAAGTACACTAATCTACTCTTCCATTCGGCCCCAAAATTTGCCAGACATCTAAAGAGGTAAGAATGATTATTTATCGTTTTTCCCTAAGTGTATACTAATGAGATTTGTTTTGATTGTGACGGCATAGTCAATACAAGTCTCTTCCATGAAGTTGACTTGTGGACAAAATGTTCGACATTTTTTTTCGTCGTTCCTTCGTTTCTTCGTTTGGTTATGTCACTGTGGTTCTTCGTTTCACGTTGTCGTGCCGTTTTATCGTCGTTTCGTGATGTCACTGTTTGTTTCGTTTGACCCTTCGTTTCGTTTCTTGGATGTTTTGTGTCGTCGCTTCGTTTCGCCGTTATAGACCGCGCTCGACTGGGAATGAGTCAAGGAACATTACATGATGAAACAACAAGTCAATCATTTTTATTCCAAGTTAACTTCACGCTCTTAAATCGGAAAAGTGAATGCTTATCGTCCTTTGAAATGAGCAATATATCACCTCATGGTCATAAAACAGTCCCTACAGGACATCGAATGAACTCAACTCAATTCATCTGTCGCATTGCATTTGAAGTGAACAATAAGAACGTTCGTTTCTACTTGAATCTCTGCCATGGCATCTCAGAAAAATTGACTGATTTGTTCTGGGACACCTTCATGATGTATGCTTTTTGGCGGAATATACATCACGTGACTCTGATCATGACTGACTGTCACAAAGGTTTTAAAACGTTTATAGTCTCAGACATTCTTACTTTTTCTGGATAAACTTTGTTTGATAGCAAGAGTACTGACTTTCCGATTGATTGTCGTAAAACCAAAACCAAAGTTAAATCACAAAATATCTTTAGGGGCAATCGAGAACTCGAAGTGAAAACAACCAAACTGCTTAAAGTACAGGGAAAAGCGGGCCACCAAGTCGTGATTGGTTTTAGTTTTGCATCTGATTTGTTGGGAGGATGGACCAATCACAGAGCGAAGTGAAGCAAAACCAATGTAATCCCGGATGACTTTCGACACTCAGTTGAAAATGGCTCTGAGCCTTTAGTGATAGACTCTGGAAAGAAGACGTGATGAATGCTTCATGTAGTTTGGTTTCTTTTTTTTTCTATCCGCAGAGGTGTATATCTGGCTTCTTTGCTATTCACTGATGACGAGAAGCTCCTTGTAACCCTGGACGAAAATATCCCAATAATTGAAGTGGATGATAATCATCCTAGTACCTTCCTTCAAGACTTTTGTTGGTTAATGAAGGTGCTCATCTAGCTTATGTTATCACTTCACAAAACTATGAAACTCGTACAAGTTTATGAAATAAATACTTATCGATAAATGGACTAGCGTAGAGGGCTCTCTGAAGTAACGCGAATAACGCGCGAGAAAGAGCAAACTCGCAAGACGTCTTAACCGCGCTGCAGGTCTAAATCACTCGCGTTTAGTTGAGTCAAGCACCCGCTAAGAAAGCCATAATAGTATATTGCTTTTTGGTGGTAGTGTTATTCATACAGACTTAGAATTGAAACTCTTGTTTGAGATGAACGTTTTAGTTGGGACTCATAAGGAGACAAGACAATCTCAGCAACATAAATGTGACAGGTAGCTGAGGCAATTAGCTTTGGGTAACATGGAGAATCTTTATGTATCTTTGCGAAATAATTTTACCCGAACAAGTTGCAAAAATTCTCAAATTCAAAGTGGTTTGAATTCTTGAGAAGTGAGGAGGCAACTTGTCGCAATTCATCGAGCGGAAGTAATGCAACCAGAGTGGTTTGTTGCAGAGAGGTGGTGATCTTGTTGTGCTTGCAGGCCTTGTGATGTTAAAAACAAAACAAAACAAAACAAAACAAAAATCTTTAAGACAGAGGTCTGTTAGGTTTCATAATTACTTCATTCAAGAAACTGGGAATTTTTCTTGTTAGGGACCAAACCGCACAGGGTTAGAACCTTAGAAGAGAGTTTCCACGTCTGTAAGGGAGGGGTGGATGGGGACTAGTTCGATTCCATTTAAGAATTACCGCTTCATTATGTTGAATTTTCTTTCATTTTAGGTGGCTTGCACTTGGAAAGATGTTAAAAAATTAAAGCAAGAAGTAGAGAAAAAGTGTTCATCCACTTCAGTGCTGTTCAGATGCAAACTACTACAAGCTGCTGATACTCTGCAGGTTAAGATTCGGTTTGATTTCTGAATATGAATGGTATGCGTTCTTCACAACAGCTTCGGCGACTCCGCTGTAACTACCTGTACTGTAACGAATGAGTACGAAAAGTTAACATACAAAAATCTTGTCCCCTCCACGCATGAGCCCTTGGTATATTCACGACTAACACTTTAGACGAAAGAGCCTCGGCCGAAGTGTCATCTGTAACTGTCATGGTTGATTTACACGAAGTAAAGTTGTTGAAAGCCAACACAGCACTGTTGAGAGGCATACTCTCAATAAATTTCACGAATCATACATTAAAAGGATTTTTTTCCCGTAACTTTACTTAAGCTGTTCCTAACCTGACAGAGAAACTTTATTGGGAGAGCGTCCGAAGGGATCTCTACCATAACAGTTGGTAGATACTCCTTCCCAGTCCCCTTTGGCAGTCGGCATTTTGCAGACCCTTTTTAAATGGTCACCTTTAGCTTAAACTTGCCGCACGAGTAGGACATATTAGAGAGACCCGGGCTGGTGGCTTTCATTCCTTATTACCAGACCATGCAGAATTATTGAAAGGTAGCCATTTGATTTTTCAGGGTGCCCTTGGCAAGCAAGATCTTGGCAGGCTACATTACAAACCAGTAAAAGATAGAAATGGTAGTACTGTGATTGTCGCCGTCAACTATGCAATTGTAAGTATAGAGCTATTTAGACAAATGATTGCATGCCACAGTAAACCATCTGACTCGCACTCCTAACACGTATTCCGTGCGAAATAAATAAAAAGGAAGGCTCAGACGCTATCCTATGGGTCTGTTCAGGTATTAAACCTTTTTTTGTTGATCTTTAGTTCGACTTCCAGGGCACAGTTGCATTTGGCCAACTGTTTTTCTCTCGGCTCTTGGAGTTTTTAACCTTGTAATGTTTTTGTTAGGAAGGAATTATTTGTTTCACCTCTTTGGAAAGCCCCACATACTTTCATACTTAAAACACTGTCCAGGCTAAATGAGTTCACTTTTTTTTTCTTGAAAAAGAAAATGGTTTTATATCTTCCTTTTCATTTGTTTGTTTGTTTTTTTTCATCCAGCATGGCAGTTCCTTCAAGCCGCGTATCCTGTCTCTAAAGTGGTTATCGTTCAGTAAACTCCAGAAGAGGATTCAGACTCCTCCATTGCAAGGTGGGCTACAGGATGAGTTGTTCACTGCATCAGAGATGCTTGTCTCCTCCATTCAGGTGAGAACATGAGTCCGCATGAAAAAAGATACTCAACAGATTAAGAGTGACTAGTATCTAATTTCTCCTTACAATATCATCCCAGAACCAAACATTAAGGTCACAAGAATAAAGGAAATGATCACCAATACTCTACTCGCTCATGATTGTTAAACGAATTCTCCTTGTCAGCACCTTAGAAATGTATTAAAAAACAGTATGGAGAATATACATACTGATTCTAGGGTGTAAAAGGTAAAGGTAACTGTTTCATTGATGTCTTGACGCAGATATTAAACTTAAGTGAAGTTCTGTCATTCAACTTGATGAACTCGTAAGCACTGATGACTTGATGAATGGAATTGTTTTCTTTACGAATTATTCACATGGGAAAGGAAACATTATCTCCCATTATCTGATCAGAAATATTTTCTTTAGTAATTCGTTCTTAAGCTATCCTAAGTTTCCTTGTAAATTAGTGAGAGAATTCAGTGTTAGATGACACCCTGTAGCTGACACCCTGTAGCTGACAAGCCAACTACTCTCCCTGCCGTTTTGTTTTTTATTGCATTGTTGTTTCCAAAGGTGACCTTGGCATACTGCTTCTTCACCAGCCTGATGGTGTTACTTTGTAACGGAAAAATTTTTGATTCCTTGTTCTTTCAGGAAAAAATTCATTATTATGAAAACAGTAAAAAGAGCCTTGAAAGGTAAGAGTTTTGTCATTTTAACCATTAATTTTTTTTTTCGTTCTGTTGTTTGTGTGATCACGGATGAATGAATGACATTTCAAGGCCCCGTGAAATACCCCTCCGCCAGATGAAGGTCCTTGGCGCCATTTCAAGTGATATTTCAAGGCCCCGGGGGAATAACCTCTGCTAGCTAAAAGCCCTTGGCAGTGCATGAGCCCTTCATGTCTGTTTTGTTTTCTTTGTAGGGGTTTGTACATCGGTTATCTGAAGCTCAGAACTTTTGTAGACGCTATTCATGTCGTGGTTCAAGAGAACTGCCCCAACGTTCTCCCACACGTCAAGATACGAGATAACCCCAATGTGTCGAGGTGAGGGGAAGTCTTTTTGAAATCTCGCTCATTTGACAAGTACTCCTGTTGAGGTATTGTTTTGAGTCCAGAGATTGTGTTTCTCCTATCAGTCATCTTATTATTTTATGGATTGAGCATGCGCTCTTTAGTGTTCGAGCAGGCCCTCATCACTAGCGCTGCAGAGCGCGCGTTTCTCCACCCGCGGGAAGATTTGATACGAGTCGGGGAGCGGTTTGCGAAGGGTTTGGCACGAATAATTACCACTGTTAGACGCCTTGTATCCTTCTCGCCGGCCTGCGTTGGTTAAGTCCTCATACCGAAGAGCAAATGATTAGGGCCTGTTAGGGAGCTAACGCTCTTTGTCAGACGTTTTATTGAGTTTACTGTGTTTTCGATCGTAGAGAGGAGTGGCAATGGCTTCAGACGCTGGACACTCTTAGGGTAATTTGTTTTCCTTATCAAACTATACTTTATATTTTATTTATGCCTTGCACTTTTGTTTTCGTAAGAACGTATAATTTGTGTCCGAGGTTGTAACGAAAGTTAGTGCTCTTAATTTGTTCATTTTTGAGCTTGTTCTTGAGTATTTTTCAAACGGAATAGAATTTCAGATTGTTGCTGTTGTTTATTTTTCTCTTTGGTTTTTTCCTTCTGTGAATGGGTTTAATTGGTCTCTCGCCATATTTAAACTACTAAAATGTTACTCAATGTCACGCATACTCAATTCGTTTACTTGCGCGGAGTATGCCCCTATTAACAGCGCTGCACGAAGCGCATTTCTCTGCCCGCGGAATGATTTGAGTCGAGTCGAGGAGGTTTTCCGGTGGTCTTGCACTGGTAATACTTAACACCTTGAAGACCTCTCGCTGGCTCGCGTTGCTCAGGGATTCATACTTCCGCAGGTAAAGAAACGTTCGCTGACTATTGGCTAAGTTCGTAACATGATTTGAAAACCTGTGTGAATCAGTTGAGCCGCAGCGTTTTTATCTAGCAGCGAAGCTGTCTCTGTAATTCTGTATTATGTGACTGATGAGCTGCTGATTGTGTGTTTAGGAGGGGACTCAGGACACAGAGCCATCCAAGACTGCGCACGAGTTTCAAGTACTGGTGGCCAAAGCTGCCGAAACTTTGATGGAGAAAGTAGGCGTTAGTAAGGAGGTACTTTCTAAGATCTCTGTAAATCCGTTTTTCTCTCTGTTTTTACAGTCAGAAGTGTATGTAAGGAGTATTTGTCTTCATTTAAGACGAGTTGGTTAGTCGTGCTCTTGCTCTTGTCTCTCACTGAGTAAAGTCGACTCCAACTGAGTCAAACCCTCTCAGTCAACAGTCAACAGAGAACAAGTTAGGGTTATTGTCGGGTTAGGGGAGGAGTATAAATCCAGTCAATTCGTTACAAGTCAAGGTATTTGTAGTCCTAATTAAAGTGATACACTGTTAATTTTACCCCTCTTCCTTTGTTCCTTGTTACCAGGCTTCCAAACTTCACAGAATATATGACCGAGAGGTTGTTGAATTGGATGAGAATGTGTCATTTATCATTGTGTTCCCACCCCCTGAGGAAGTCTGCAGTGCTCCAGGACAAGTAGACTCACTCTCACATCACAAAGGCTACATCTCCTTACCTGTGCAAACCTTTGAAATGAGTAAGTATAAGATGTAGGTCATATTTTGATGAAGTTCTGAGGTTTTGTGAAGAAAAATTTCGAGCATCTTTGGCTGAAGCATTGGAGAAATCCCCTCTGGCAAAGATTTTTTCTTGAGCCGTTAATCCAACGTGTTAATTATTGTATCAAGACATCGTAATGTAGAATACCTGAGGTAGAGCCACATCTCAGTCGTAATTGTTTTATGTCATAACGCACCGCTCATTCTACACATGCCGTGAACTAAATATATTAAGGTCACCGTCCGTCTATCGCGCTCGGTATCAGGGTGGTTTACTGTATGGTATGCTTAGGTGCACTGAGGCAACAACGGTAGTGTTACCAACTATTTTCTCCTAAAGGAGAGATAGTTATCAGCCGTGAACAGTTTTTTCTGCCTCATTGGGGTAGATTAACATATCAACCATGCAGATTACCAGACAGAAACATGCAGTGATACATGTATGGTACTCATGTGGGAAGTGGCTGTGATGATGAAGTGATATGGCCACAGAATACGCTTGATATCGTGGCATTAACTAAAGACATGTTCTGTTTAAATTCCAGTTCACATGTATACGTACCAGCAAGAGTTTATCTGCCATTATTCTCGTCTCTCATCCGTTCTGGATATGGACTCTGTCATCTCACAGCAGTCACTCAGAGAGGTAATGTGGCTTTTTTAATTCATTCGAAAGACCTGAGTATCACTCTTCACTGCACATCAATCGAACAGGCTTCGAACTTTCTTCCAGCGTGGTTTTAGAGTAACGATAATTGATAATTTTCCATTGGCGGAGTGAAAAGAAAAGGGTGTGGGTGGGTCAGTCAATCTTTGGTGGCAGTTCTTTTTGTTACATCTGCCATTACTGGGCGTTTACTGTCTAATGTATTAACTTCGCCAGTTGTGTAACTCTTGATACTCGATGTGCATGTTAAGTACTGTTAAGTTTTTTATAGAGGTAAGGTTGTTGCGGTCAGCTTGGCAAAGCTACCAGTAGTGTGTTTGATGAAAATACCAATTTTAACCAAAGAATTCTGCCAATAACTTCTCACGTGGCGCCAACGTGTGTTTTTATTTACCAACCTCTTCACTTAATTTTTTTTTCCTCTCCCTCTTTCAAAAAGGCATTTTCATCACCCGAGGTACAGTTAGCAAAAGCACGACAAGAGCAGCTGTTGGATTTCCAGCGGGTAAGTTAACAAGTTAACTATTAAGAGAAAAATTTTTGTATTGTCAGAAAAATGGCAACTACGCGAGATAGTCCAAAAAAAGCACAGTGACTCAGTTACATGAAGTAAAACTTTTTCAATGATTTGCCGAGGGGACTATCGTAAGATTCGTCGGAATTCGATTTGTTTACCACGTGATTAGACTAGAATAAAGTTCAATGTGCTTCGACCGCACAGAAGCCTGTTAAGAAGCTTGCTTTGAAATTGTTCTTTTTCCGTTCTAAAGGAACTTGACGAAACATGGCAAGGAATGCGTTGGATATTGGATGCCCTGCATTACGCGAGGGATCGTCAAATTCGAGGTGGCATACCTCTGGTCGAGGTGTTCCAATACTCAGTTTCTCACCCGGACGGCCAGTGCTGTGTTTGTTCGTCTGATTTGAGAGGCAAAGTCCTCTGCAATGGACATAGTGAGTATCTGGTCTTGTAGTTGTTTCAATTAAAAGTTAAGGATGACAAACAAAATTCAAGACTTGCTTTACGTTATACCCGTTTGTTTTTTGAAGATTTTTTTTTAACGTCAATTTTCTGTAAAATTCTCATTGATGTAGTTTGATTCTGTTACGTATTTAAATGATATGCTAACCATTTTTATCGGTCAACGGTCACTTCTCCGGCTTCTATGGCCTCTTCCCTTTGTCTTCAAAGTGGCTGTTGTGAAGAGTTTCGATTGTATTGTCTAATGTAGTGGTTTGTCTTTCGTCAGATTCCTCATCAAGCAATAGCCCCAGACAAGGAGTGGTTCAAATTCATACAGCAGGAGAAACAAGCTTACCTCCCGGAGCCACAGTAACGGTATCATGAATATACTTGATAGTCGGAAACGAAGGCACGATAAGACTATTATTAAGACTATGATCTTCTGCAATGTCTCCTAATTTGTAAATAGGATCAGGAAAAAGATATAGAGAGCCTCGATACAAGTTCAATTTTCTGCAGCGCTGTTTCCTGTTGATCCAATAGTGGTTTTAAATCTTTCGAATACTGAAGTGCTTTGACGTGAATCAATGACGTTTTTCGAGATTGGACTGGAAGTAAGAATTCTGCCACTATAGATACCAAAGAGAATTGTTCATTGTAAACAACAATTTCTTCAAGGTTGTTAACTTTTTGTTGTACTCGACCTGGCAAAATAGAATAGAAACTACATTTCATCTTTCTGTAGAGACATCGGGCCTTCATGTCTCAAAATTTGCCGAGTGGGTGTGTTTCAAAAATGAAAACAACTGTTACGTCTCATTTTTTATGGGTAGTGGTTCTTCTTCCCTCTAGGTATGGGCCGTTTTGGATGTTGAATTATTACATCCCTTTAACAGTTGGTAACTAGCAGTCTTTTGATGTTGTCTTTTTGTTTATATCTTTTGTCGTATAGCTTCATATAACGCCTGCAACAAGATCGGACGAAGTGGTCAAGATGGTTGTACAACAGCTGTATAAGAAATGCCAAGACAGAGATAAATCTTCTTATTGGCACAATCTCTCTGACAAGAAATTGAAAGACTTATGTTTAGTTGCAGTAATCGGTGGACAAGAGAAATGTTTTAGGGACGATTTTAAGCCACTACAGCTTCAAAATCCGTGGAAACGAGGAAAGTTGTATCTCAGACTACGCGCTGATGCCTTCGCAGCATCTGCTACGGGAAATTTCACAAGTGTCTAAATTTCAATCACTTAAGACGAGCACCTGTTCCTATGGAGCCATGTAGTTCTGAGTGTTGAAGATTTTCCAAAGAAAAACTCGTGCCACATACTGCAGCAACCAATCACGTAAGGGTACAACACATTGCGATGTGGTAACGTGTTATCCTCTCCCAGCATGGATGTCACGTTTCCCGCGCTTTTCACCGCTTACTCTTAGTTTCTTTGAGGTCCGATTGGTTTGTTTTGTGAACCACGTGACAATCTCTAGAAAATCCTCAGAGTTTCAAACCAATACTAAAGGTACTCTATCTTTGCAATTTTCCTTAACTGGTGCTAATCGTAATTACTGCGAAAATCAGAGCGGAGCATTCGTTTATTAGCATCAGGAGGATAATTTAAAGGTTCCAAATTAAACGCATCAGATTCCAAAGCTGAAGCCGCCAAATCGAGATTGAGTGGAAATAGTTAACCAAAACCGATAAAAACAGTGTTTTTAAAGGCAAAGAGATGCCCAAATGTGTTAGATCTTCTCGAACGCAGAAGCGACAGAAAATGGCTCCCATGTGAAAAACTGCTAGTACCAGATTTAAAATGACCTTAAAGTGAGAGTAGTGTCAAGATTCTTCGGCACATTGTGTTTTTTATTATTTAAAAAGGATGAAATCCTCCTGTTGGTAATCAAGATGGGTGAATCCATCGTAAATCTAGGGACAAAAAATTTACTGTATGTTAGTTTGAAAATTTAGGTATATAACAAATGGAATATATTTAAGGAGTAAAAAATAATGTCGGAATTAATTAATTTCTTTGTATGATAAGAATGATTTTGTACATATTGGTGGTCTTGGAGTAATTATTTAGGTTTTCGTTTGTCGGCTGTTTTTTTCCCTAATTTGGTTTAATTTTGCCATGGATTAACTTAACTTCAGTTTTGCTTTTTCGCTTTTGTGACAGTGACATTTCCACCGGAGAAGGCGAAAAAATGAATTTTTCGTTACTAAATCTTTCCTAGTCACGTTTTACAGTAAAAAAGACCTGATTTTCTTATTAGGTATTCATAGTTTTTCGAGCAAGAGGAACGGCTTTACACTCGAGATACGGTTGTATGGCCCCAAAAGTTTTCACAGCAGCACTGTAGAAAACTTAGTTTAAAGTCTTGTAGTTTCGGTTTGAAACCTCTCTCCTTTACTCGTCAAGTCAATCGCGTTTGGTGTGGACTTGGTGACCGCGCATTTCCTTCTTGTATGTGCAGTGAATTCGAAATAGTTCGTTGTTTTACTTGGTTGAGTTATACGATTGGTCAGATAGTTTTCTTTTTGTTCATTTGTTTAAAGCACTTCTGTCTTGCCTGTTGGTGTCAAGACGAAGTTAGGATTTGTCTCATGGCCAAGGCGTTTGTTTCCACTCATGGGATTTGTGTTGACCAGATTACACTTAAGAATAGAAAACATTAAAAAAGAAAGAAACAGGAGAGCTGGCTCCCTCTATGAATGTATCATATTTATTCCCTAGTCAGTCTTGCAGGAAGATATTTTTCACGACAGTTTTTCAAATCCTCCATAGGCGATATTCCTATTTAGGCAGCTCTAACAGAAATGTATTCAAGTCTTGTTTATCACAAAAGAAGTTTCCACCTGGTCTACGTTGTTTGACAGAAGGTAAACGTTTAAGTGAAAATCGTATTTATTGTGAGATTGTTGTTTAAAATCACCATTGTGTTTAATTTATTATTGATATTTTCACCTCTTGAGGAGGAATCCAGAATATTTCTAGGCTCTGGGAGTTTGATAAGTCTGGAAGAGTGCTTGAAGTTTTGAAAGCACTCATTTGTGTCACTTTTTCCGTTTCATCGTAATTAATCGCATTTTTGGGTTAAAGCAGTTGAATGTGGATATTGTGTTATTTTATACGTAGAAATGTTTATCTCCTTAGAAAGATAGCAATAAGTTTTCTTTATAAAGCAATTTTAGACTGAAACTGGCTGGGTTGTACGTGCGCTAAACGCAAAGCGGAACGCTCTTTTGGTTATTTCAGCTCTAACTTTGTTTGCTCCCAGAGTATTGATTAAGTTAACACTTGTAGCGGGTGAAATGTTGATGCTAAGATAGACTAAAACAAATAAACAGAAATATTTCTCACAGTTGTTTGGCTTTCTTGGTTCTTTCTTAAACGAAGACGACTACAACAACGACAATTTCCGACAATGAAACAGTAGGCGTGCGCGAAACTGTTATTAATATTGTTGCAGGGTAGCAGTAGCCGTCGACATTTTTCGAGGAATTGCTGCGAAGAATGCGCAGTGGCATCAAAACGATACAGAGGAGACTACGAGCAGTCTCTGCTTTTCTAGGAAGTTCGTCGTGCTATTATATAAAAAGAGGGGGGTAATTTATGTTAGTACACCGCACAGAACTCTGGAGATGAGCATTCCACTCGATGCGTCACGGAAAAACCAACGTACCGGCCACTTCCTCCATTCTTTTGTCAAAGGGCACCCGAGTTGATTGAATTCTTCTTCTGGTGGACTGCTTAGTCTCAAAAAAGAACTTCTGTGCACATCATGATTAATCCTGAAAAAGCTGAAAAAGCCATACAGAGGTATGATGTCCTAAACTGATTCGAAATGACATAGACCGTTAAGGATTGGTTGAATCAAAGAATTCTCACGATGATCAGGTGACCGCCCAACCGACTGGTTTCTATTTCCATCAACACATTATGACATGACGAGTGTGAGACACTGAACCATTATTAATCACTTACTCAAACACAGAATCTCTTACTTGCTATGAGACCTGCTCAAAATCTTGAATGAAAACACATGCCCCTAGCATGTGATCGTTATGAATAGATTGTTGATCTTGATTTCATTCTTAATGTGAATAAATTTCTTAAAACTTTTTATCTTTAGAGAACTTTTTTGAAAACCACGTTTGAATGAATGAAGGCATCTTCGCGAATTTTATCTTCTTATTGTTGTTACTGCTATTTAATGATTAGTAGATGGTTTTGGCACTTTATTATATCTATCATGCGGTGCGGGCCTACATCTTCCCATAATCCAACCCGATCATGTCCAGTTTCCTTTCAGTTTTTCGCTTCAAAGAACTAAAATAAACAATTTGTTATCTGTCCAGTCAAGGTTGCAATGACTACTTCTTTACACTGCAAAGATGCCTCTTTTCTGATGATTTTTGTAATAGATTCATAAGGATAAGGAACATTTAACTGTAAGTAATGTTTTTAAGCTCTGCTTTGCTTGCAGTTCCATTTAATTACTAAAGTTTTCGTAAGTTAATCATCGATCCGTACTAAAGCTTCTTACTACCAACTTCAAAGCCGATTACTTAATTATCAACTCTGTGCGTACCAACTGACTAAGCTTGTGTACGAATATTCGTAAAAATTGAAGCTTTTAACTCTTGAAGTACATTTTCAAAGCCCGGGCATTTGCTTCTTGTATAGATGTGTTCCTCAGCTTTAGAGATACCATCTCGCTAGGAACTTGTAGCTAATACGGCAACGACTAATCCTTAAAATACTACGATTTTTCCATAACTTTTCTCTCTTTTCTGTCATGAGCTAAATAAAGATATTTAGGGTAAACGGACACGTATGGATTTGAAAAACGAGATCGATAATGCATTCAGGAATAGAAAAACATTCTATGAAAAGCTTTATCTTTGGAAATGGGTATCCAACGTGCTTTGTTAATTGAGCGCATGAGCAAGCACATTTTCTAGCTAGTGGGGACCAGAATGTCCCGAGTATCCTGAGGTTGCTGTAACGACTATTTTTGGCGTGCTAGATGCAAAATAAAACATTATGTTCTACTGGGGGAGCTCTGTAGTGGCAGGGGGTAGGAACTAGTTAGGAAAGAACAGGGAGACCAGTTTCAAGAGAGATAGTCTTAATTGGTGAGAGAATAAAATGAAAGAAGCCATCTGAGATCAAGGAACAGAAAACAGACAGTTTATGAGCAACACTATATTTGTATATCATTTTATGTGGTAAATCCCCTTCATTGTAAGCCTTCTCTTAAAATTTGCACATGAAAATATGCTTGCTATTTCAGTAATGCAACAGGAAGCAGGTTGAGGGACAGTGTGTATCAAATATGTTACTGTTAGAAAAAATATTGCATAAGATGCCTTATCTCAGTTTGTGGGTGTAACTCTTTGTTTCAGTAGTCAGATAATTAAAAAATATATTAATGAAGCACCTTTAGTCTTGATGACTCATTCAAGATTATTTTGCCTTTTTCCTTAACATTTGAAACTGTGATAACAACTTTCTTGCTCACTGCAAATTAGGCCAGAAGCCTACCCCCTATGTTTGTGTTTTGTTTATTCTGGTATCATCTTGCAAAGTTTTTGATGAATAATTAGCTGTGTGTTTTCAAAATAGTGATATACAGACTCTATCACACTTAATTCACAATTTTATTATTTTCAATTCTCAGGGAAACAATGGCTGAAGAAGTGGTGAACAGACAAGGTGATTTGAGTCTTCATATTTTTCACAAGTGGAAGGATACAAACCTTGGAAATATACTGGCACCAGTTTTAGCTTTTGTCATAGAATACCCAATTGCCACTTTATTCATTGCAGTCTTCATGGGACTCTCAGCATTGCCTTTAGTGCTGTTTGTGTCATTTGTCTTGTACAGTTTCCTCTTTACTATGCTGGGGTTTGCAATGGTGGAAGGCACGCTGTTGATGATTGCTGTTTCTATGCTCAGTGCAGTCATATTTTTTGTGTTCTTTGTGTCAATCTGCATAACAGCCTTTCTTATCTTCACGTGGAGTTCAGCCACCGTGGGTTACACTTTTGTTCAAAAGCTGAAAGGAATAGCTCTTTACTTGTTTCCATCACTGAAAGAAATCTTGGAGAATTATGCAGCAGTGGAACGGTCACGATCAGATTGAATCTTGTTTTGTCGTGGTATAACTTTTGACTATGGTCAAAAATTTATATTTAAAGTGATCTGTTCAACTTGGTTACTATTTAAGGGAAAATATTGTTCTTTCATCCATTTTATTATCATAATGGTATTTTAAGTAAAAAGAACTGCATGTGTGGATTTCATTTTTATTGAAGAAGTTTTTCACAAGCAGCATAAATAGTATAGTTCGAGGTTATCTTACACAAAAAAAGTTGAGTGTTTTACAGATTTTTACCCTGCTTCTCTTAAGGATGCCAATTTTAAGAGAGGAAGTGTCACTTGTAGTATATTTTCTTGGATGAATTCCCATGTTCTTATAGCTATAGGGCTCCAAGTAAAGGCTGGTCAAAGGTCAGTGTAGGGTGAAAAATAGGTTTTGTCTGGTCAACTCCTTGGATGGCTGGACATTTTTTCTGGTTGGTTACCCATGTAAAGAACAACTCAATAGCAAGCTAAGTTCAGTTTCATTTTTCCTTCATTGTGTTTGAGGCTGCACAATCAAAGCATAGTAAATACCCTTGTTTTATAGGAAGGGGGTGGGGGGTCTATACAGATATGAGGTAATGGAAATGTGTACATGTGTCTAAGAGAAAATAGGTTTGATTGGACAATTTGACCAGCACCAGCTGGTAAATTATTTTGAGCCTTGAGCCAACAATGCCCTGTTGGGAGTCATGCCCACTCACTGAGCTTAGATATCAAGTAAGTACCCCCACCCGTCTCCAAATGACTTTCTTGAATAATGAGGATACAAAGAAAACTTGATTCTCTTCTCACAGTCTCTATTTATAACCATTGAAACCTCCACCACCCAAGATCTGATCAGCAATTGTCCCTTTTAGCAGCAGAACATTCCCTTTCAAATTAGAAATGAGAGTCTTGCAAAAGGATGCTCTCTTGTTGCTAAGTTTGTTTTCTCTTATCACTTGTTTGCTGGCTACCATTATTGATAATGTAAGGGAGTTAACCCCTTCACTCCAGATATCATAATGGAAAATTCTCCCTACTGTCTTCCATTCATTCCTTATAAAGTTTGTACTAAGAATTTGGTGTTGGATTGAATGATAATCCCAGAGTTAATATTTTTTGCTACTCCATCACTTATTCATATTATAAGGAGCACTTTTGTCCCACATCAAATTTGTAACTCTCCTTACTGTCAACCATACAATTCTTACAATGTTAGTTTGGAGAATTTAGTATTGGATTAACTAATTATCCTCAAATTGATATTTTTCTTTATTCTTATCACTTATCTGGTTGATAGTGTATTGATATTGTAGGGAGAAATTCTGTCTTGGTCACTCATGGGAGTTAAAGGGTTAAAACCGTACCAGTTCTGGTGGCTTATTGTTTTATATTCCAAGTCAAGTGAATTAAATGTCATCTGTCCATCATGTTGGGGGTGGGTGTATATCAACACCACGATGACAACAAAGTTACACCTAGCACTGGTGATCACTCAGGGAATGAAATGACAGTCATTAACCTGTGAATAATATTGTTGATTGGTTGTTTATTCATTAGTCAGGATGAAAAGCAATGTGTGAGTAATAATTTTGGTAACATAGATTTGGCACTTGAAGTTTGCAGTTCTTATTTATTGATGTAGATTTTTTTTTCAATCTCACGGGCAAACATTTTATTTATGTGTATTACAGCTACATGGAATATTTGTTGTGCTGTAATTATCACCAATATAGTTATGTAGTAATTTATTTATTAAAAGAAAAATCCTGTTAGTGTGGATTTTGTGGATTTAAATTCTAAATGATATTATCATTTGGTCCAGTTCTAAGTCTTGTTTTTTGAGTGTTGCATCTTCTGTTAAGGGAAGGGGTAGCAGTTTACTGGTGTAGCAGGGTTTGCGTCCAAGTTTCAACAGGAGCCCAAAGGAGGAAAATAAGCCAGTACTGCAAGCAATCCTGAGCCAACTGCTCTTCCATTAATTCCACTCCCTCCAACATCTTCTTGTTCCTTTCACAATAATTTTCATGGCCAAGGGCAGAAAACTCTTTACTAATTCTGGAATGTTAAAAATGCTAATACCTTTAAGGTTGGTCCTTTCATTTAGTTTTTAACTGGTGTGTTTTGTATGAAACAAAGACTCATCATTGCTCTTGACATGGAAGAGGGGAAAGGGGGAATCAAGGGGGTTTTATGTGACTGGGGGCAGTTTATGAGATTTGGGTACTTATAGGAAGTACCCAATGAAAATCCCCTTATGAACCTTGGGGGGAGGGGGGAGGTGTTGGGGACTCAAAGAGAAGGTGAAGGTCCAAGTTTTTTTTATTCCTGGTGCAAGACTTTTCGTTGGCGGTGACAAGACAAAGGACATGCTTCTTCATAATGCAGGTCATCGTCTTTCTTTAGAATTAAAGCCTACATAGCATCACAAATACCTTACACAACATGTATTCCTTTTGTCAAAAAAGCTTGGTGTGGGAGTAAAGGTAGGAGTATTAAAATGAAGTAAAGTGACCACACCAGAGGCCAAATTATGGCAAAGTGTTGAGCCATACTACACACCTAATCTTGGTTCTGACGGAAGAGTGTTTTCTTTTTACTGTCTGCAAAAACATTAATAATGTAAAAAATGTTATTGGACATTATGGTCTTTCTCTTGAGTAAAAAAATGCTTAAATCATGATAAAAACATCACCCCCTTAGTATTTGATATTTCTGGATCCATCATCAAAGCAGTTGGCTCAGAATTCCAATACATAATTTATCTTGAAAAGGCTAGGTTATACAGTTAAAAGCAATTTCAGGGTTGAGTATCTGTGCACAGGTTAAGACTGTGAACCTACTCAGAAGGAGACTTCTCAAACTTTTTTTCATACTACTTAACAAGAACTCGTTTCTTTAAATCTATGAAAATCATTAACCCTTTGACTACCATGTAATATTTCTTCACAATATCACCCCTAAATCAAACATGAAGGTCACAAGAGTAAAGGAAATAATAACCAACAAAAGCAGCTGTTGATTGTTAATCATATTCTCTTTTTCAGTACCATATGAAATGTACAGCGATTTGTATGGAGAATATGCAATCTGATATAAGGTAGGGTGTACACAGTTGGGATGTTGCCTGTGCTGCCTATGAAGAACTGTTACTACGACAGTTTTACCATAAGACCTCCATTATACTATCAACAGTTCCTGATACAATGAGTTTCTACATAGGAAACTTATGACCTACAGTTGCATCCCAACACAAAACAATAAAGTACACTTCCCACACAAGACAAATTTTTTTAATAATCTTGTACTTTCTATCTATGACCTGTTACTACTAATACTCCACAATCTTAAAATATAAGAAGTTAAAGTTTGTCATTTTTATTTATAAAAAAAAATCCAAGCTTATTCCAATTACTGCTATAGTTTTATTTGAACTATAATAATAAATTGTTGTCAACTCAGGTTTACATAAAGACACACAGTGCATGATAAGCTCTCACTTATTTTTCATAGCAAATGAAAGCTCTCTTTTTGCTTAATCATTAGAAAAACAGGGGTTTCAACATTTTTCATGAGTGGCTACCAGTGGTGAAAGAAGTAGCTGTGCCAATATATGAACTCAAACATGAGCCTACTCGCAGAATAAACAGACAGTGGTGAGAGGTCTTTAAGGCGGCAGGAAACCACCGGTAACCACCTTTCATTAAAATCCCTAGAAAATTAAAGTGAATCCATTGTATCATTCATGCAGAATATGATTCATCACTGCTATTTTTCATATCATATTTTTCCTGCTTCAAATTCTATGTACGTAAACGATGATAGAGCATTAAAGAAAAGTTGGGAAAAGGAGATAAATAACAGAAAAAATACTGAGCAAAAACATTGCACTTTTAGGCTCACTGTGAATGAAAAAAATGTTTATCACTAAATGATTTAAAGTTGAAATAGCCACTTAAACACTTAGAAATCCAAAGCCAAATAAATAAAAGGAAAAAAGTACAAGAACACACACAAAAAAAACAAAACTTCATCCCAAGATTTTCCAAGAAAACAGAAAATGCTTTACATATTCTATCCTTTGACAGTGTAGCAGAGTAAGGCACTTCCACAGAAAGAGATGAAAATAATCAATTTCCTTGTTAATATTCCACAGCTTGGCAGTGGCAAGTCATTCTTGCTCATCACATCAAATAAACAAACTTAGTTTAATTAATTAAAAAAGATAATTTTCTGACTTGGTTACAAAATAGTTTTCTCCTACATGGCTGCATCCAGGTTTTTACAATATTTGCAAGAGTGTTTCAAAAGTGACCATAATGAAGTGAGACATTTATGCCAGTCTCGGTTCTCTGCCAGAACTTCCATACATCACAACATTCAAACTTTTAATCAAAGCATTATATATTGCATTATCATTACCATTATAAAACAATTGGTCATAGCCACCATAAATGAAGTATATGACTGTTTCTTTCTCAAAAATCAATGATCACAGTTTATGATATATAGACAATACACAATAGATTAGAAAAATTCGTAATCTAGATGACACTAACCAGCTCATAACAACCAGGATATTTTCAAATTACTCTATGAAAAAAGTAAAAAAAGCTACCTTTTGTAAGATTATACAAGAGGTTTTTTTATTGTTATGTATGCTATGGCAATTTAGCTTTCTTATGTAAATAAACATTCTCAAAGACATGACCTGAAGTCGGACCATCTTTGTTTTGACACTCCTGGTGGCAAAATGAGACACGAGTAGCCACACTCCTGTCTTTGTACTGTACCTTGCTAACCTTCAGTGAGTCTCACAGAGCCCTTTTTAAATTGAAATATCTTGAAAAACATTGTGTGGCAACATACTTTGCACTTCTGAGTTACTGCAGCATCAAAGACTTCAAATTCTCCTGTAAAATGGTGTCTTTCACTGCATGGAAAACAAACTTGATATTTTCTGTGTCGATGGCTGTTGTGAAGTGATGAAAGAGAGCTTTAGACCTCTCTCGTCGCTTGCTATCAAACATTTGTAAAATAAAGTTCTGAACATCTTCCAGTTTCCTTTGATCACCTATAAAAGCTGGGAAGTAGTCTTTAATGTTTGCATATTTGATCTTTTCCATTAAAAGATCTGTCTTGTTGAGAAAAAGGATGATAGACACATTGGCAAAGAACTTATTGTTGACTATAGTCTCAAATATGTTGCACGACTCCACCAGACGATTTGTTGTTCTGTCTTCCATTAGAACCTGGTCAAAAGCACTTGATGAAACAAGGAAAAGGATGGATGTAACCTCATCAAAGCACTGGAACCACTTAGCTCTTTGTGATCTTTGGCCACCTACATCAACCATTTTGAAAGGAATCCCCTTGATGATAAACTCATGCTCTACAATACCTTTTGTTGCTTTTCTTGCATGAAGGACATCTTGTTTTGAGGGCATGTAATCCTTTGAACAAAGAGAAAGGAAGAGTAAGACTGAATATTATATCTCTCAGTGTATACGCTATGATTGGACAATTTAGTGGGCTATAATTCCCCATACAGCCAGCTAAATTAAAAAGTTTGTTTTAGTTGATCTCTCCACTTTATATTTGAATCCAGGAATGAAATAATTATACAATTAAACTCTTTTTCTCAGTTTGCACTCTAAGATACTTACTCAAGGTTCTTTTATACCTTGTATTTTCTGCTCAGATTTGGCCCACAAGCATCACACTTAGGCGGTAAAACCAAGGGGAAAAACTTGGTCCATAACTTACAGTACAGACTTTGAACATGGTTAATAAGGGGTACTTAAATTTGATGAAACAACTCTTCTTACATAACAGCCAACTAACATAGCACTTTTCAGAATAAATGGGTATATTTCATAATTCAAAAACAGCATGACTACACTTTCATCAAAAAGTGTTTTTACAAAATGTCATGATGGCTGTATCACAAAAACAATAAAATCATGGCCATGTGGTTGAAGAAATCAGACCTGTACAGTTTCAACTTTTATCTCAGTTAAATATTATTTTCAGTTCCAGTTAATTTTCCAATGACCCATGTGGAAATGAGCTATTAACGACTGAAATGTGTTCATCTTTCCTTAAAAAAATTTACTAGTGTGGAAGAATGGCAAAATGTAAATAGATGGCAAAAGAAAAATTTTAATCTCCCTGCCATCTTTTCCCTTGTGTAACATCCAAGTACTAATAACTGACAAAACTGTTCGCCTACTGAACTAGCTCAACATAAAACAAATTCATCCAAGAATGACATGATCCACAATTTTCACATAACATGGTGGAATCAAGCTATGTTTTGCCCAGAAAATTTCAAGCTGGTCTGAAGAGAGGCACATGTGGCCTAAGACTCGAGCTATACAGTTTCTTCATGAATCAATAGGATAGGCAAACTAGCACTGATTTTGGCTAATTTTTTTAATCAAACATCAGAGCTACAGACTGAGGCCTAATCCAAAAAGTGTCCCAGCTGATGTTCAAGATGACATTCTAATATTCCTTTAGCTTTTTCATAATAAATTGATTTGCTAATTTTTCCCAAAAAAAAAAAAAAATATGCTTCCTGCAAAGTATTGACCATGAACATCGTCTGGTTGGAATTGCTTGCTACACTGAAATAAATTTGACAGTGGGTTGAAGATAACTTCAGCAAATAGAATCAAAATATTACTTTGGATTCATCAGTATTTGATCTGTGCAGCATGGTTCAAGTTCCAATGCAAAAACTGAACAACAATCCTCAGAGCAAAATATTTCTCATTAAGATCAAACATTCTTTTCTGGAATAAGGAGGTACATAAGTTAAATATTTTGGGTAGACTTTAAAGGACATATGGACAAGATAGAAATTAGCCTTAAAAAGAGAAACTATAAGACACAAAAGCTTTAAGGGGTTTGAATAAGTGTCCTTCATAAAAAATTACTACTTTGCAATCTATATTTAGTTCTAATATATATATGTTTTTGGACAGATATTATCTAAAGAAATACTTGATTTGCTGTCAAATCTTCAATGACAGCAAAACAGACCCTTTCAAGACTGCCATTAGAATTACCTCTATTTCACTCCCTCAATTTTGAAGTGTGTGTTTATAACAAATAACGTTATATAGCCACTTTAGGCACTCAATGTATATCACTTAACAAAGGTGAACGGAGAAAGCATTACCTCAAAATACTGACCGGATTTTAATCGCTCTAGGGACGATTTTAAAGTGCATATCAACAGCAAAAAGAAGGGAAATTTGGGGCGTGCTTATGAACAGGAGCTTCTTACACTCGAGAGCTTTACTTGAATTCACCAAACGCTCAGACAGATCACGTTAATTATAAACTCTCAAATTATTGTAAATCCAAACATGAAAACGAAACATGTATTTTAAAACCAATTTTCGAGTTGTTTAATCGTAAACGCGAATATAAGAAATAAAAGAGCAGTCGATTAAACTAAAATGACGCTCACGATTTTTGTTCGTCGTTGGATAAATGACAGCTATAAAATTTATTGTGCTCACTTGTTGTTATTACTTTTCCAATCGTATGGCAAGGGAAAACTGGAGTCTATTTAGAGAAGAATATTTGCTCTGGTAAATAATACGGGAAAATGAATTTGACAGTGACATGTTTGCTGAAATGAGTACCGAATACCGAGATTTCAGCATGTTTACAATTACAGTTTCGTTTAAGACGGCGACCTCGATTGATGATTCTTTTCGATTCGATGTGAGAAGTAGGACATTGGAGGAAAAGAGAACTTACCTGCCGACCAATACGTTCCAAATGGTCGAGGAAATATTTGGAAGAATCGCCCTGGAAAAAAAAAGGAATGGTTACATCCCTGAAAGAATGTAAATTTTAAACTACCCATGACCGATCGTTTGTTCTCTACCAAGACTAACATTTCCACGTACACATTGTATAGTAAACTACATAATACAAATTAGAAGTTCGATTTGCAAGTTAATTTGACGGGAGGACGTAAAAGTCTCCTGTTCCGACTGCTCTAACCTGATAATTGAGCTTATAAAGTTAAGAACAAAGCATGGACTCCCATCAGATGTGATTTGCTGAATTGTATCGGTCTCGATATCATTAAGTTGGTAAACCAACCATGATTCTGTATTCCACAACAATTCTTTCAGTTTAGTCTTTACTATTGCGTGTAACGCAGAATACTGATGTAAAAAACAAAGCTCGGTGGAGTAAAATGGTCTAAGTGTGTGTACTATTGAAAAAATACAATAAATACAGCTTTAGTTTCCTTCATGGCCAGCATTGTTGAAATCAACGAGAGTTATGTGTTATGCATAATACATTGTTTGTGGTGGCTTGCAGAAGCCGCGCTCTTTTAGCCCGGGTATTAACATGAAATTCACGATCTCCAATTTAACCTCGCACAGCTGACTTAGATAAATGTTAAATGCTTAATCTTACCAGCTGAAATTCTCTCCTTCTATCGTAAGCATTTTGAATTCCCTTATCCCGCCAAAGCCTTCTCACACAATCGAAGTAACTCATGAAAAGCTCTGTGTCGATTTGTTGTGGTGCCGTGAAAGCTAAGATCCTTTCTGCGTACATTTGGTTCGATTGATCAGTCCATTCGAGCCTCAATTTCCTTCGGGCATCAGCTAGGACTTTCATCCCCTTGAGGATGTTAGCATAAATGATTGGGCGAAATTCATTCAATGCTTCACTGTCGAAATCCTGGCCATGAATGATGCGCATTTGCTTTAGGAACGTGCTTTTCCCACTCTCCCCAGCGCCTAAAAGCAAGACTTTGACTTGACGACGGTACTGCACTTTCTCCTGGGCAAGCTGTTTGTCTATTTTCCTAGATTTGGCCCTTTGTTCGGCCTCCTCCTGGCTCAGGCAGCAAGCATCGAACACCATTATGGCCGACAACAGGCTGCAACTGACTGCAAAATCCACACCCACTGAGGGTTAAAGGCTAGGGAGAACCTGGCCTTTGATCAGCGCGACCAATAAAGAGCTGACCGGAAGAAAGACCTATTTTAACACGTTTTAGAACTGATTTTTCGAGGCTAATTACATCTCACACATTTTATTGCTCCGCTCAACTCTAAGAATGCTAATCAATAGATTGAAATTTTTATTAAATATTGGACAAGAATAGGACAATGAAACAGCATCGGCACTAAAGCATGCACAACGGCCTGCGTGATCAGCACATGTTTGACTCCCTTTTAGTGGTAATATTCTTGTTGATCTTGATTTTTACTGGTTCAAAACAATAATAAAATCGAGAAATGGATTAATCAAGACAATATTTTAGAAATTAGTACACATATACATTCTCGACTGATGTAAATGAGGTTGTTGGTTTAACGCCTTATGATAAAAGACAGATGAATTTTCAAAGAGATCAATGTTAAAGGTCTACCCGAGTAACTGATTAAAAAAACCTATCTATTGCTCAATTCACTGAATTAATAAATAAGGAATAAAAGGTAGTAATTTCAACGGAATCGAAATTTTTTCCTCGGAAGATGGAGAACCGACGAAGCGTAAACTGTATATACCAAACTGAGGTTCATATTTTGTATAGTGATCCCTTGATATAAAAAAGACGAACACCTTCTCTCAGTTGCCTGCGACAGTATATACCCTTATCTGAATTTCACGGGTTTTTCCACATTTGGAGTAAATTATTATCCAATTAGTAAGGTTAGCTAATTTTTCTCTCTACATCTAAAATTTCGTTTTTTCTTGGTGGGCTTCAATAAATTTCCATATATATCACAGTGACGCAGCGAATGAATTAAGGTCTCCGCGAAATTAACATTGAAATACTTTTTTGGCTTCTAATTACTCTTCATTATCTGAAAACCGATGCAAAAAAAAAGCACGCCGTCATTTAGTTTACACAATAATGTACTTAACAGATCTAGACTCGCCATATCTCGACACTGCTGATACTGGGAGGGACAAATAGTTGAAATGCTCTCGGACTAATCTTATTTCTCGTATCAAAAATTGTACAAAATTAAATGATTAAGGGGACGCGATAAACAACTTTAACAATTGGCAAAAGGATCTTTCTTTCTTTACTGTGACGCTCTCCTGATTGAGTCTGTTGAAGAATATCTTGCCGAAAAACTAACAGTTAGTACGGATGTCGCCTAAAAGTTCCCGGAATTTTGCTCAGTGATTACAGAAAGGACTGGACCTAGCTATCACATATTCTATTATTCCCTGAGTGGGGTGGGAGGGGGGCGTCTAAAGGATTTTGAGGGGATCACATGGTTTTCGGGGGGAACAGAGGGTGGATCAGTCGTTACACACAGAGTATCAATGGGGAGACTATAGAAAACTGGCTATCAATGAAGTGGGGGGTCAAGTAAATTCTACTGTGACACAGCCAAAATCCTCTCACCCACCACCCGCCAGGCCAATAACTGGTCCCGAAATTAAAGAGTTTTTATTTTCGGAAGCGTGCTTCAAAATATTTCAAATCCGGTAATATCCAGTTTATCTAAAAACATAGAGACAAAACAAATCATTCTCTCTTTTACCTTAGGCAGTTAAAATTTTTTAAATCGCTCACAATGAATGCATTTTGAGATCTGGGATAGCACAAAAATTTTTCCCACAAAACCTGTCCTAGCGGATGAAATAAGCAAACGCACATTTTGTTATTCCGATTCAATTAATCCTTCCTATACACCCACTAATGTTCTATTCCTCTACGGATTTTGATGAATGACATCCGTATATGTAATTAACAGGACTAAACATATATATATATA